ACAACCTGTCTAGTGCTGACAAGCCCCAAAAGGCTGAGCGGCGGAGCGCTGCCCTGCCCACCATGGAGCTCCAGCATGCTCTGGTGTCAGAACCCGCCGGCGGCAGACCTGGGGACACTCGGGTAATCACTGTCACCCTAGCTCGCTGACCAATGCACCCACAACCTTCTGAGGGGTGCTCTCTTCCACACGTCAGTGGTTTATGCTGATAAACACCCCCCCCTTTTGCACAGGACGTCTTCAAAACAGCTCTCCTGGCTGTAACCTTGATAAACTTTCCCCCAGCAACCGGCTTAGAGGCCCTAAATGCAAGAATGTCCCCCCCCTTGAGGCTCCTCAGGAGGAGTGAGACTCTGGGTCCCAGCCAGCCCCTTCCTCAAACCAGATCTGCGCCGCTCCCCGGAGGTGCAAGCGCATGGGCCGAGCTGTGTCGTCTCAGCTGCAGCGCACATGGCTCTTCGGGGCTCCGAGGGCCTCTTCAGAAGAAGTACTGGTGGTTGAGGGCTGCCTTGGCTGAGATGCGCTTTTTGGGATCATACAGGAGCAATTGCTGCCAAGAGAAAAACCCACCAGATTTAGGAGTTTGACAACCCAAACGACCAATCACACCTGCATGCGACTGGGCCCGGATGCCCAGTTCTGCCTTTTCCCTTCTCTGGGCTTCGGGGGTAACCCACAACTGAAGTTCCCGCGGGGATTACGCTAGAAGGGGTTCTTGACCCTCAGTGCAGTGGTTTCCTCGAGGAACCCGCCGTGACAGTCCTGCTTCAGAGCCAGGACGGATCGCTGTTAGATGATTGGTGTTTCTGCGATGGCAGAGGTGAGCGTTCGAGCCAGACCAGCTAACGCGCTTTAGGTAGACCCAAATATCCCTGGGGTTTTTTCCCAGTTTGAAAAGGTCCTGCCTGTCCCCACATCTCGTTCTGAGCCTTTACTCACCACCAGTAAGTTTCTACCATCCCGACCTAGGTTGGGAACAACTTCCTTCATCTCCTTCCTCGCCCACTGGGGAAAGTCCCTCTTGTAGTCAGGCAGCTGGGTCACCCCAGGCCAGGTCACCTCGATGGGAGTACCCAGGGTGCGAAAGATGCGGAAGAGCTGATCGATCTCGGAGTCCCCTGGAAACAGGACCTTCCTGGTCACCTGGGGGGAGGAAGAAAAAAAAAAAAGGCCAGTGCTCACCTTTCCTTGTGCCCTATTTCCTGCTGCACGCAACCCTTCGTCCCAGGAGGTGCAAACAACCGCGCAGACCTGGGCAGTTACAGTGCAGCAGTTCTGCCAGGCCCTGGTTGGGAAAGTTCCGGATGTGTCTGCTGTCTCCAGCTCCCTCCCCCACGGATCCATGCTCTCCGAGGCTGTCCTCTTTCAGCCAGCCCCTTATCCCTCTCCGTCTCTAGTTTCCTAACACCCACTTTTCCCTGCCCCCTTGCCCAGGCTCTGCTGAGCTGCACCTCGGGGGCTTTGGGAGCTGGGGAATAACGCTGTTACGCTGCGGGGATAACGAGAGCTCTTCTAAGTGGAGTACGGACCCCGAGGAGATCCACTCTGCCTGGAGGTGCTAGTTCTCTGCACCCCACTGCGGGGACATCTGCAAGACCATCATCTCTTCCCAGCATCAAAAAGCTGCAGCAACAAGAGGGAAGCTACACCTTCCGCAAGGGCAGGTATCTGTTCCCATGTACCTGGAACGGCAGCCAGGCTGCAGGGGTGTCTCTGCCTTCTGCCAAGCCCCTGAGGGTGGCAGGTTTCCTTTTGAGCCCACAGCTAAGCATCAGCTAACCCTCGGGCTGGACTTTTCATCACGCACACCCCAGCACAGGGTGGGACCGCAGTATGACCCATGTTCTGTGTCCTGTCCCTCCTTTCCCGCTTCCCATTGCAGCTGCATCCCCCCTGCTCATTAAAGAGACGATTTAACCCAATTCTACCATTTCTGCAAAGATGCAGCCGATGCTCCAGATATCCACCGCGGTCGAGTAGTATTTGCATCCCAGCAGTATTTCAGGGGCTCGGTACCACAGTGTCACCACCTGGTAAGGAACCAACAAACAAGCTTTGTCGAGTTTCCATGGGTGAAACTAGAGCGTGGGATGCTCGCAGCTGTAGTGCAGCGCCTGTACGAGTCGGTGTGCCAAGGCCGTGCTGAATTAACAGAACCCTTAGTGACAGTGAGATCAGGATTAGCAGATCATTCTGCAATAGGACACTGGAATAAATAAATATGCCCCATGCAGAGAAGGTGGGAACCCTGCTTGCAGGCAGGCTAGGGAAGAAGCAGTGGGGACACTTTGTGGGGACTTGCTCTTCATCCAGCCCTTAGAGCTGGGTTGGGTTAAGAGCCTGCGCCGGGGCAGAGCTGTGCCTCAGCTATGGATGAGTAACTTGTGATGCTGCTGTTGCTCACCCGCTATGGATGTGTACCCCACGTACAGGTGGCAGGGAGTCTCAGCAATACCTCATGAGTGTATGTACGCAGGGGGACTCCAAAAGCTCTTGCCAGTCCAAAGTCGGCCAGCTTGATTGCTCCGGCTTCGTTAATGAGCAAGTTCTGTGGCTTCAAGTCCCTGTGGATGACTCTGTGCGAGTGGCAGAAGCTCACGCCCTGCAGCAGCTGGAAAAGGTAGTTCTAAGGAGAGAAGAGATTCCAGATTAAACCACTTCAAAGGTTGGATCATGTGAACCAACACACTTTAGATCACTTACAGACCTGAATAGGAAAAAAAAAACTTAACATAGAATCACAGACTTATTTGGGT